CCAACAGAGACGTCGGCAGCTACATTGTAATCATATGTTTCCTCCTTCTTTGTCCAGCACAGCATTAGGTAACTCTTGCATGATTTGTTCGTTCTTCCAAATACAATCGAGCCTGTACAATGTGACGAAATCATCGGATTTAGCTTGTCCTGTTCATCGCGATTAGAAACATTGCCCGCAACTATTATACCCATACATCTTCACGACTCTCTCCCAACGGTAGGCCTTGACGGATTATGCTCAGTGTCTGCTCCAGCGCCGGGTGAGCCGGGTAATCCAACCGGTTGGGCGGCGCTTGAACCCGGTTGAAAATATAGTACCGGGTCACCTGTGACCCGGTTGGTACGAGGTGATTTGTCCCGCCATACCCTTGTCTTTTATACTTTTTTTTTTTTTTACAGAGGGGGTGATAAAGCCTCTTGTACGGGCAAAAGCAACACAATGATGAGAAACCAGGGTATGATAGGAAGATAATATTACAAATAGTACACAGGTGTGGAAAATATGTCTCCGGAATGGCGAGAGTCACACTAAAACACAAATGGATTTAGATCCGGCTTTCAACCACTGCCAGCTCCCTGAGCTCGTTAGCTGGACGATGGTATGCCGACCGAGACCCACGGACACACATGACAGCGGACCGGAGCAGCGCGAAAGACAGCCTGCAGCGCACATACAGTAAGATCGGGCGCCGAAGAACACCTCGCCGAAGAACACCCAGGCTGGAAAACCGGCAAAATTTAAGAACAGTCCAGGCTAGAATTATCAGATTTAAGAACACTTTTAAAATTTTATACATTGTACATGTATGGGAGGTGAGTACATGTCATGTACACGTGTAAACAGTAACTGCTACATGTACAGTCATTCCTATTTACGACACCCACTAGTTTAGAAGTACTACATTGCACATTGTACATGTACATGTACATGACAAACGTCATGACGTCACTCGACTCGCCGCGCGCGTGGGAATAAGAACGGTCTGGCTAGAATCAAAAATTTAAAGGGGAAGTTAAGGCAAAAATTAAAATTTCACCAGTTGTAGTCTTCGGGGTGCTGAGTCGAATGGTCCTGGTCCGAGAAAGCTGAGACGCTCCCTTCCTACTTGAATCCCAATCGAACTCGCGCACTTCCACCGAAACTGGGTGACTGCGCCCTACGAGATGGGGATTTGTATGCAAAATGTCACTAAAAGCGCCGTTTCGTTCTTATAAAAGCACGGATGACCGCGATTGGCCCATATGTTGTAGTCTTTTGGACGCTGAGTCGACTGGTTTTGGTCCGAAAAGGCTGCGATGCAGCGTTCGCCCCTAATTCCCAATCGAACATGGTTGAACAAGCGGTCACGTGCTCCTGCGTACACCAGTCACCTGGTCACCGTGCCTGCAGGGTACAACTTACACCCTGTTTTGACCTTTTTTGGGTGCAGTCCTGTCACTCGAGTTGAACCTTGGTGTGAAAGTTGTCGCCTGCTGGCGTGGTGACCAGGTGATTTGGGCACCCAGGAGCACGTGACCACTTCTTCAACCATGTTCGATTGGGAATAAAGGAGGAACGCTGCATCGCAGCCTTTTTGGACCAAAACCAGTCGACTCAGCGTCCAAAAGACTACAACATATGGGCCAATCGCGGTCATCCGTGCTTTTATAAGAACGAAATGGCGCTTTTAGTGACATTTTGCATACAAATCCCCATCTCGTAGGGCGCAGTCACCCAGTTTCGGTGGAAGTGCGCGAGTTCGATTGGGATTCAAGTAGGAAGGGAGCGTCTCAGCTTTCTCGGACCAAGACCATTCGACTCAGCACCCCGAAGACTACAACTGGTGAAATTTTAATTTTTGCCTTAACTTCCCCTTTAAGAACTTTCCTAGGCTGCGCTCGAGCCCCTGCGTTCTTCGGCGCCCGATCTTACTGTATGCAACATGGTGTGCATAGGGCATGCTGGAATCAGCCCTGGCAAGCAAGCCACAGAGGCGCTTAAGGAACCTTTCACATTCAGGGGCGGCAACACCAGAAGTTGACAACACCAGCGGGCTGAATGTGCCACGATCCACATTGAGGATTCGCTCTCCGTACTGCAGCTTCTTCTGGCGCTCGTGCTGAAGCAGTAGGGCATCCAGTGGTTGGGCCGAGTAGGACGCCGCATCAGGATGGAAGACGCGTACATCAAAGAAAGCATCCTGTGCTCGGGTCCAGAAGCCACGGGCACGGACATCAGCGCGGGCATCCTCGGCGGTGTTTGTTGATGCAGCCATAAACACCTCTCCAGAAAGCGGGGCTAGCTGAGGCTCGATTGCCACTGCGTGGCAGACCTCCGTGAGTAGCTCCCCTACCATGTCACGGACTTCGAGACGAGGTGATTTGGCTTTTTTTAACATTTGGCATTTTTTAACAAATGTGTAAAATTTGCTTTTCTTCTGGCTGTTTCTTTGCTCCGGATGGCTGTATCGAAACATGGGTGGTGGCAAATGAGAGCCAGTTTATCGTAGATCAACTTTGACCAGAAAATTTGGTGCATATAATTTAATTCTCCCTGCCACGTCGGTATACCTAGTGGTGGGTGCTTTGCTGTTTTGTGTAAAATGTGTAAAATAAGCCCCTGAATGGACGAGGAGGGCAGTGGATTGCTTCCGCAGGGCCTTTGGACGACGTCAGGCCGTCTTGCCATCACTAGAGACAGTAATAAAGAACAGAAGGTCACGGAATACACTCTGTGAGAACGAAAACATCGCTGCGATGCTATGCTATCTATCCAATTCCACCGTATAACACAGCCACTAGTTACAAATACAAAAACACGGCTTTCGCAGCATACAATGCAGTTCACTCCTCTGTTGACAGATTAATTTTCATCGACTAGCAATCCTTGAAGTGATATCTATCAACTTCAGAACATTGATGACCTAATATCCCAGTTTGTGATGCCATTTTACAAATTTGTTAAAAAATGACACACCAACTATTTGAATCCTGAGAATACTATGAAAGTAGGACATAATTCAAGACACTTTCCAAAGTGGGATCATTGCCATTTTCGGACACAATGGGCATGAAGGATAGCACTTCCACTTGCAATAATTCATTTGGACGTACATGTAGCTTGTCTAGAAGTGACTGAAGAAACGTCATTTTACAACCATGTTAAAAAAAGCCAAACCACCTCGTACTTTACACTTTCGAACTTTGAAAGGACTGACTACATGGCTTGTATGTGTCAGACTCCAGTACTTCTTCTTCTTTCGTAATTTTCTAATTCCTGTCCTCTCTTTTCTAAATGCGGCTTATCCATTCGCCTTTATATCATGATCATTGGCCTACATTATAGTTCCCGTTTATTGTCCGAATTAAAATAAACCAACCAACCAGTTATGGAGTTGACTCGGCTGGTGAGACAGCGCCAGGTACATGTGTATCCGGCTCCAACCCGGTTGAAATGGTTGCGCCAGGTACACGTGTACCCGGCTGTCCTACAATCCTAGAGCAGACACTGATGCTAGCATAATGTTTCGCATAATTCCTACCAAAATCGAATAAGCGCATAATTCGAGGCAAATTGCATACGGATCGCATAAATTGGAATAATCCGACTAAGTAAGTAAATTATCGTGTCCGTTCCCGAAGAGAACTCACGACGGCCGCTAACACCCGATAAACCCTAGCGGCAGATGCAGCGCCTAACGGTGGGGGTGAGTGGATAAGTCTCACAACTACTGGCACAAGTGCCGAAAACGACCCCATTAGCTGCATCCATGTACCCCTTGTGCCTGGCCACAAGTTCCCAGTTGACTGTGGGTAGCAGCACGGCTGGAAAAACCGCTCCCAGGGAACCAGGCTGAGGTACCTCTCGTATCTCAATCATGGTCTTTGACCAACCCACTGTGCCTGCCTGAATTTAATCCGACTGTTCGCATCAAATTCCATACAGTTGTACATGTTTTACAAGTACAAGTACAATTAGATGCACCAGGAAGTCGTAGGTTTACGACTCCCTTGATAACATGTCCAGTCCACTACAATCAGTGACGGTCGTAGCTAGATTGGACGGTGCGTTGACCCCGTTGAACTTTTGCTACTACAGTACAACGCCCTCTACAAAAAATTCCCCCTGTTATTTTGCACAGAACCATCATATACATAAGCAGCATATGTGAGCATGATGCGCATAATATGATAACTTTTAGCATAAAAATAGCATAATTCTGCCATTTTTTCAGCAATGCGAAAAGCATAATTTCACGAAAATATTAGCATATTAAATCCGTCAAGGCCTAACGGTCGAATGTTCTCTTTATGGGAGAACTAGATCTACGAGTTGTTTTTTCAGCCTTGCGAAGACTAGCCGGTATACCGGTAGCCTAAACATGTTGTAGTTGCTTCTGCACGTTTCTAGTTCTGCGTGCCCCTACGGCCATGCAAATTCAATGCCTGTTTGGGTGATTAAGTGCTATGGACTGTCGGGCTCGAAAATAGAGTTCTGACTTGCCTCCCTGTCACAGTGTGATTCTACAGGCCCTACTCGACGATGAGGAGGAGAGGTGCGAAGGCAGCATGCCAGTTCTTGCCCTGGGTAAACGCTTTCTCTGGCAGCGAAGGGTCAAAATGCCACGAACAAGGCTATTCCGAGGCTACAGTACCAGAGCCTATAGCTATAACCTGGGCGATGTTCGGCAACATTCCGTAGACCTACGTCGACAATCGCGTTTGAGGTTTTGTTGGCGGAAGTATGCAGCAGTGACAGCCCCCGCCCCCCCCCCCCCCGTCTTTTTCTTTTGAATCGCAAAATAGATTCTGCCCCCTTCATTCCGCGACCGGAATCGGAATTGCACCGAACAAACGCTCTGGAACCAAAACACGGCGGATTGACTTTGGAATGGTGTCGGAATGACACCAAACAAACGCAACTTTAGTTTCCTGGTTTCGGGAATCGGGTGTCACATGTCACCATACTCGCCCCGGTGAATGTACACTGGAAAACTGGTTATAAAGCCGCTTTTCATCAAAGTAACAAAGTATTTTGTTTTTGTTGCTGGCGCGCTGTATTGTACTTTGTAGCTTGCTGGCTAGTTGTCGAAGCCGAAGTCTCGTCCGACGCTAAACTCATATCGAAGCTACAGTCCGTCCACATAAGTTGCAGTCCGTCAACAGAAGCTGCAGTCCGTTAACAGAAGCTGCAGGTCGTCAAGAGAAGAAGCAGTCCGTCAACAGATTCGAAGTTTCAGTCCGTCAACAGAAAAAGGAGTCCGTCGACAGAAGAAGGAGTCCGTCGACAGAAGAAGGAGTCCGTCAACAGAAGAAGGAGTCCGTCAACAGAAGTTGCAGTCCGTCAACCGAAGTTGCAGTTCGAGAACCGAAGTGGTAGTCCGACAACAGAATCTGCAATCCTCCAACAGAAGCTGCATTCCCCAACAGAAGTTGCAGTCCGTCAACAGCAGCTGCAGTCCGTCAACAGCAGCTGCAGTCCGTCAACAGAAGCTGCAGTCCGTCAACAGAAGTTGCAGCCCGTCAACAGAAGTTGGGGTCCGTCAACAGAAGTTGGGGTCCGTCAACAGAAGCTGAATCTGGGACAATTGAAGGCTGTCACTGGCACAAACGCGGTAAGCGAAGCATGGCATAGTGGCATAGTGGTAATGTGCCTAAACATGTACAAACTCCTTGCAATGACTTATCATAGACAAGTATGTGCTAGGCACTTCTTTTACTTTGGAAATCATGTCAAGAAAATCTCGACTCGAATCGACTATTTTTCAGCATCACTTTTCAACACGGACGAAGAAAAGTCGGCCGAACGAAGCCTAGAGGAAGAGAATCATCCTCTCCACTTCAGCATCACGAAACCGACATAGGTACGAAACGAAGCAACTAAAAGAACCACAAGAAACTGTATGCTTACCGCCACCCTGACTTCGGTCTGATAATTTTCTATCACATTCAAAATGTACGAGGAGCACTCAAAGATCAGCTACCGACGTGCGTTTGTCGTTCTCTACTCCTCGTGGTAGCCATTATCCCTTTGGTGATCGGGAAATGAAATGGCACGTTCCAGCATGTGAGGTGGAATAATCATTCTCCGAAAAAGATTCCTTCTCGGTGAGTCCAAGTAATTGCCCATCCTGGAATGGGACATACGAAACCGAATTTTGTTACCAGACAAATGAGCCAGAATGATTCCCAGCGATTCTCATTGTGCAACGTGTCCAACCAAACTCTACCCAAAGTGCCCATTCCACAGCACACTTCAAAGTCTACATAATAATGAAAGCATCATCTTGTTTTTGTCTTGTTGTTCAGCCTTGCCGACTGCACGACATCTGCAGACAGATCATAGTTGTCATGGCGATTGGGAAGAGTTTGAAAAAGAGGTAAGTCCGGTAGTTTACAGTGATCCTGACCAGTGACGTTCCAAGACTAAGAATGTATCAACATGTATACACTGATCCTGACCAGTGACGTTCCAAAGACTAAGAATGTATCAACATGTATACAGTGTAGTTTCTAGAATTTCATTGCAATGGTATGTAGTGTTTTACCCAGATACCTTCACGATAATTTACTTACTTTCTTTCTTTTTTGAATTAGGATATTGAGCCAGTATTAAATGTAAAATAGAAGAAGAAAACACATGGGAACGAGTTATGAAGCAACTATCCATGACTGTAACAAGATAATAAGCAGTCAGAACGTGTTATCGCACGTTCCTGAATAAATTGAATGCACTACTCTGCATTTTGCATATATATGAGCTACTGGATTGAGTTTATTTTGCCAGTAATCCTTCTCGAATGCAAATATCTGCACTGCTTTCTGCATCAACAGTGGAGGACGTAGGGACTAGGTGAACAAATTTTGCGAGGCAGTCTCACGATGAATTCCACGGATATACTCCCAGGCGGTGTATGGAACGGGGAAGGGGTTGCACTAGGCCAGACCTCTGCTGGCCGCCCTCATTACCTTGACAGATACCGCAGGACTTGACAAATCGCTTCGCATCGATGCCGATCCGTGGCCATTAGAAGTGCTTGTGAGATGAAAATAGGTCATGTCTCTACCGGGTGACTTGCTGTTGCGCAGATAGCTTCCATCACTGTACTCGGGTCTTTCCTGATTGCATTGAAGGGGTACGCATCGGATAATCGTGTGACAAACAATACCGCTCGCATGTGTTTGTCCAAGTCCCGTTTGGACTTTTGCATGTGAAGTTGGTGATGCAGTCGTCCAGGGACCCGACCTGGCAAAGGCTGAACAACTCCAGGCGAGCCTGTTCTTGCGCAAGGATAGATCTGTGCGCATTGCCAAGGGCTTCCTTCAATATCTCCCAATCAAGGAGCACCTTGCTTGCGTCAAAAGATTACATGAGCCAAAGCTGTGCGTTTCCTGCCAGATTACTCGCTGCATAGAACACCTTGTTTTTGTCTTCCGGGCTTGAAAGATGCAACACTCCCATGGCCAGCTCCATTGCAGATACCCACTGCCTGAATTCGGAGGCTGCACGGGTGAAGACTGGAGGCTCCCGTACGTTTCTGAAGTTGCGAGAGGATAGCAGCTTTGGTGTCCGCTCAGAGCGGTAGTCTCCATCCCGGTCCTCGAGTGGCGGAGCTGACATACGGGCTGTAGGCTGCACGGGAAATGTTTTAGCCGAAGGCTGTCCAGCTGTAGATGCAGAAGCGGAAGTCACATAGAGATGTATAAGAAGCTGGTATACCCCCAGTGTGAACAGATGTAAAAGAAGCTGGTATACCCCCAGTGTGAACAGGTAGCTGGGGGTACCCTTCGTCCGAAATCCCTTTCTGTAAGATCTTGACCAAGCCCTATGGTAGTAGGTGCCCGACAAGAGTGCTTAAGTCTAAGTGCCAATCTTGATCCTAGAATGCCGTTTTCAGTCCGTTTCCTCAACCCATATTTCACATTGTTTTAACATACGAACAAGATTCCGGGGCTGCTACTTGTTCCAATATGGTGCAGTGGTATTGTATATGCAGTCAATTTCCAATCGAGAGGTTGCATGTTCAATTCCCGACGGATATGGACGCACACATCTTTCTTCCCTTTCTCATTCTCCTAGCTCTTCTTTCATTCTCCTGGGTGGCTACAAACAGCCAGTGAATGCCGCGGTATGTAGTGTGGTGTGTGTGTAAAAAAAAGAGAGAATGAAAAAATGGAACAACATGAATAAATGAAATAGGGCAATTTAAAATTTGGACTTCATGGAGAACTTCAAAGTATTAGGAAATTAGAGGCCACATGCCACGTACTGCTCTTTTCTCTCCGAAGCACTTGCAAGCCAGAGCTTGATCCAAGCGAATGGCGAGGGCCCTCTTGGTTGGCGTGAGTTGCCAGTATGATGCAAGCCAGATATGGATTGATCGAAGGATGGATTTACCATCACTGTGGATAGGAGTCATACTGCAGCTCAGTTGGTTACAGCATTGCTCGCGAATAGCAAGGTCCCTGGTTCGAGTCCCGGTGGTGTGACTGATTTTTTTCTTTCTTTCATATCTGGCTTGCAAGTGTTGAGTTTCGGAGAGAAAAAAGCAGTATGTGGCATGTGGTCTCTAATTTCAAAATACGGACTCACGGGCCGGAAAAAGGCCCTTCAATTATAGGCGAGGGGTACAGGCTAAATTCAGTGGTGGTCAATTCTTCAGCCTTGCAAGCTGTTGTATGGTGTAATCCAATAAGTTTGTTCGCTATCATCGCTTCAGCAATGGGCATGTGGAAGTGGAAGTCGTGGAGACCGGGGGGGGGGGGGGGGGTTCAGGTCCGGGGGGGGTTCAGGTCCGGGGGGGGGGGGTTCAGGTCCGGGGGGGGGGGGGGGTTTCAGGTCCCAACTTTGTGTCTGTGTTTGGGTTTGTTATAATGTCCAGATCCAGTCAGGGATGGACTAAAGCGAAGTTAGAAGAACAATGTACTCACCCATACAATCTCCGGCCTCGTCGCACCCGCCAGTCTCAGTCAGTACCGGCTTCTAACGGTGTGCACCATGGTCCAACAGCAGGTGCCATTGAAGTAGCCGCCATGGAGCAACGCAATTCACTGCCCACGCATCACCAGTCAACAGGCCCACACATGAACCCGCTGGAAAGTCTTCATTATGACATTTGGGACTGCGTGCTATCGTTTCTTGAAGTCAGGGATATTTTTCGTCTGTGCGGCGCATCGCGGCCCATACGAACAATGCTGATGACAGAGTATACGTTCAGAAGACTTTGTATGGTAAGTGCTTGGGTGCCACATGAGTATCTTTTGTTCATCGGATAAGCTAAGTCGAATGGTCTTGGTCCCAGGAAGCTGAAACGCTCCCTTTCTCCTTTATTCCCAATCGAACTCGCGCACTTCTACCGAAACTGGTTGACTGCGCCCTACTAGGTGGGAATTTGTATGCAAAATGCCACTGAAAGCCCCGTTTCGTTCTAATAAGCACGGATGACCGCGATTAGCCCATATATTGTAGTCTTTTGGACGCTGAGTCGACTGGTTTTAGTCCGAAAAGGCTTCGATCCAGCTTTCGGCCCTCATTCCCAATCGAACACGGTTGATTAGCGATCACGTGCTCGTGCGTACACCAGCCGTGTTGGTCACCGTGCCTGCAGACTACAATTTTCACACCAAGGATCAACTCACAGGTTCAATGGTTCAACTCGAGTGACCAGAACGCTGTACAAAGTTGTAGCCTGCAGTCACGGTGACCAGCCGTACCTGAAACACCCTTGAATCACCCAAAATAAAGTTGGTGCAGGGGGGGGGGGGGTATCGCGATAGCGCGTAGCACAAGCCAACACACTCGCTTAGCACCATAGAAGAGAGGACCGAGAGAGTTCTTACGTGTATAGCGTTCCAGTTGATATATGGATGAAGAGTTCTCTCGGTCCTCTCTTGTCTGGTGCTAAGCGAGTGTGTTGGTTTGTGCTACGTGCTATGGCGACATGGTGCCGAAAAAGATACTAAGGGGTAGAGTAACAGTTAAATCTATTACTGCAAGCTGCATTAGACACCATAAGCAAACTTACGTCACACTTACGGTCGAACGTTTTGAAGCTATCCTGAATATCCGCCCGCTTCTATACGCCGATGACAATGTAAACAACCATATCTTGACGCCAGCAAACCTGCTTAGCCAGTTTACATTACTTGGACTACCAGAGCAGTGTTTGCTCTAGGATTGTAGGACAGCCGGGTACAGGTGTACCTGGCGCAACCATTTCAACCGGGTCGAAGCCGGGTACGCATGTATTCGACGCGCGCCTAGCGCCTCTGCATGATCTGTCACACATACAAGCCATGTAGTCAGTCCTTTCAAAGTTCGAACGTGTAAAGTGCCAACCGGGTCACAGGTGACCCGGTACTATATTTTCAACCGGGTCCAAGCGCCGCCCAACCGGGTCGATTACCCGGCTCACCCGGCTCTGGAGCAGACACTGCAGAGCTAACAGAAGCAGGACAGGATAACACGGTAAATTGTCTTCCAGAGAAGAGCTACTTGTGAAGTGGAAAACTGGACAGAAACATTTAGAGCTATTCTGGAACTTCTGATGATAACAATCAAACACTCCAATGGGACAAAATTCAAGTATGAAACAACACTAGTGACAAAATTCTGGCCCAACAAGGCCAGACTAACACAACAATCTACTGGTTGAACAATTTCAAAAAGATACTCATCTTTTGAACACAAAGGTCAGGCTTATGAATGCGTCGGAAAACGGCCTCCAACACTTTAACCCTTTACCGGTCTACCATAAGCGTACCGATAATATAGTATCGGTACGTTTGGCCCACATTTTCGGGGGTCTTGTTGCTAGGAGACAGCTAAAATGGCGCTCTACGCGTAGCTGAGGTCCAAGGCTTTCTGACGATGTGCAAAACAACCATGCTCACCATACAAATTTTTGCCGTATCGATCGACTGAAGTTTGTTGAAATTGGAAAAGACGACCATCCGCCATGCGCGCATCAAGAATGCGAGTGCATCTCTTGGGGCGGTGTTTGACAAGCGTTCTGAGAGCAGTAGCATCATCAGTCCAGGCTGGATGTCCCGGGAGGTTTTGCAGTGTAGTGTGCTGAGAAAAAGAGCTCCGTTGAGTCCTGCTACAGTAAGATCGGGCGCCGAAGAACACCTCGCCGAAGAACACCCAGGCTGGAAAACCGGCAAAATTTAAGAACAGTCCAGGCTAGAATTATCAGATTTAAGAACACTTTTAAAATTTGGAATTTCCAAGTTGCGAATTTACACGTAGATCTACATTGTACATGTATGGGAGGTGAGTGCATGTCATTTACACGTGTAAACAGTAACTGCTACATGTACAGTCATTCCCATTTACGACACCCACTACTTTTTTTTGTAGTTTAGAAGTACTACATTGCACTACAATCATGTACATGTACATGTACATGTACATGACAAACGTCATGACGTCACTCGACTCGCCGCGCGCGTGTGAATAAGAACGGTCTGGCTAGAATCAAAATTTTAAGAACTTTCCTAGGCTGCGCTCGAGCCCCTGCGTTCTTCGGCGCCCGATCTTACTGAAGTTCAAAAATATATCGTCCACGAATGAAGAAACAAAATTCTCCAAACAGAGAGGTAGCCTTCTTCCTGCCGACACGGCGACAGCGACTGTCACAAGGACTCGTCAGGTGCGATCAGCTGATTCGCCTGGCCGTGAGAATCACGGCATGCGTAAGCTCGCGCCTGAGTACTCATCTGAGCGAGAGTGAATCTGAAGCGAGCAGCGCTGAGATGAACAAACCGAAACTGCGATATCGTGGAATGGGAATTGCTGCTGCTGGCGTATCGCCGATGGCGAGGTGTTGGTGTTCAATGGCGGTATTGTAGAGCCTACATTTCTTGTAAAGACGTTGCCCTTACCTGATTGTTTATCATACGACTTCAGCTCCATCACGAACTTGGTATGCCTTTCGTGCTGTGATATTCGTGTATTTCATTCGCATTTGTATTTTCTCTCAACTTGAAGGGCTGCCATGGGCCCTATCCTTGCCTGGACCTAGTCATATTTGAATTTTCTGGACGCGTTCAGGCATACAGATTTTGAAAATATTTGGTTTACCCATACCTACATCACATGGTTCTTGAGTTATTGCTGGTTGTGTGTACATGTATTTGCGTGACCACCCCTCACATACATTGAGTTAGACCGGCAAAGGGTTAACCTGTAACTGATAACCATGACATCCACAACAAAAAATGGAGAAACCTGAACAGTAGATGGGGAAAAACCAATTTCTTCCTTGTTTCTCTGCAACAATGAATTTCATACTAGAAATGTTTCCAGTCGGGATACCAGTAGGGTGCCATATATCCCATACCAAAGTTTGAAAAAGACCCGACTTCTTTGGGACAATGGAGAGCCAAAATACTGAATTTTCCCATCTACTCCCATACAAAGTCACCCTCTCTGACGTCATAAATCTGGCTTAGTCTGGGCAAGATAATGGTCATGATGTCACCGAATTTAATGCAAACTTCAAGATGGTATAACTCGGGAACGGCTGCTCCGATCAACCTGGGACCTTCACCATTGAATCTGTGAATTTGTCGCTACAGGTTGTAAAGTTTTCATTTTAGGGTGAACTTTTCTTTAAAGGGGAACTTTCACCAAAACTTTTCTTTGTCTTATCTTTGTCTTATCTTGTAGTCCTTTGGCTCCTGATCACGATGGTGTTATTCGTTTTTCACTGGATGGCTGGATCAAGGCAACTGTTCGATGTACGGTGCACGCTTGCCTTCTGAACCGGGACACTGATGTGTACACAATGAGAACGCCAAACAGGGACAGAACAAACAAAAGTTGACAGTAGTTTGTCGCATTGGTACTTCCTCCACCAAGCTCCAGCTCTTTCTTTTATTTGTGATTACGAAGGAGTGGAAGGATGTTTGTTTGCTGTTAGTGTGACACACATACCTTGCACTTGTAAATGATTTCATTGTATCGAAGGTGGTGGTGTTGCCCACCCGGTTCTGAAATGAAAGACGTCGGAGTTTGTCATCTGTGACTTCAGCAACACCGTCAGATGAATCGCCTTCACGTCGCAACATTGCGTTCCTTTGGGGCTCGGGTTGGTGGTGTTATCGCCTCCCGGAGGAGTACTGTTTTCTGCACACGCACTCATCATCGTGTTGTTCCTCACACGAAAAGTTCAAAACAACGACGTACTTCCGTGCTCACAAAATAAAACTTGGATCCTCGCGGAAGAAGTCAAAGAGGTGAAAGCTCAGCTGCTTTTTATTTTGATTTAGCTGTGTAGCTGCACCTGGGTCTCTTCCTCTTTGGCATTTTCCTTCGGTACGACGTACCCATCTGTGTTACAGTTCAAAAGGCACTTGTGCACCGTACATCAGAACAGCTAGCTCGATCGACCAGCACACGGGCTGAACTTCGTTTTTGCCGACGAATGTACGCGTGGAGGTCAAGTCCGGCGTGACGTCACTCGGTATTTCGGGACAATTTTGGGGACCTTCTTTTCACGTATTTACCCACTTCGAGTCATCGCAGAGAAAAACGAATAACACGATCGTAATCAGGAGCCAAAGAACTACGAGATAGGACAAAGAAATCTTTTGGTGACAGTTCCCCTTTTATTGGACCTCGCATTGATGGACATGATAGTCTGCGATCCTGTGGTTGACTGCGATAGTGGGTAAAAAGGCTGAGCTAACGGATTAAATGTACTGTTAGTATGAATGTTTGGGGTACAGTGAGGAAGTACTGGGGCGTTGAGGTTCATTATTGTGCAGATTGGTCGAAGGTTGTGTTCTCAGCTGTACTTATTCTGTCAGCCTTGAATCGCCATTCTCGAGCTGTCACTCCGTCACTCCGTCAGGCCAAAAGTCAGTTCTTTGTGCAGCTTCCAAGTCATGTTCTGTGACGACTACGTGCGCGTACGCTTGGCCAAAGTACTTAGTCTCAGAAACAGGGCATTTCAGTATCACTTGTTTGTCTTCGCACCATTTTGCGAATGAGGAAGCTGAGCAACCAGGAAGAGTCCTTCCAAGATGAACAGCTTTGCATTTGGTACGATGGACACTGCGTAGTTAATGTTTGCGGGGTGGGCGCTGGTAGTATAAATAACGTTTTTCCGGAGGGCTTGATAAGTATGCCATTGTGTACTTGAGGTAGCTGACTGCATCGCATCGGAGAATGCGATGGTAAGTGAGCTTTGGGACGTGCAGATACTTTTGCACTGTACGAGTACGTGTTGACTCCAGAGTGCGTATTCCGTGCCTGTGCTGCTGCATCCAGCTCAGGGGAGACTTCTGCTTCAGGTACGTTAAGTACGGGTACGTCAGGTGCGGGTGCAACCTTTTTGAATTCCGAAATGCCAATTTCTCTTTTCAGAACTTTGATTTCGGCATGAAGGGCCGAAATTTCGGCTTTTTGACCAACCTTCAGTGCTACTATTTCATTGCTCAGTTTCTTCAATACAGGTCGTCAAAGATAACAATTGCATTTTCTAGCCTGGGTACGTACGTTCCGGCTAGTGTATCCACACTAATTATAGGTTAGTGCATGGCAGGGAGGGCCTTATGGCTTGTTAGTGCCCGACAGGTTAGCCTGAGGGCCGTAGGCCCAAGGGCCACCCTGAAGGGCACAAACAAGCCATAAGACCCTCCCTGCCATGCACTAACTATTTTAGAACGAGGTTACATGCATTATCTCACTTCCATTATGCTTGTGTACCATTATATTGGGTAGTTTTGTTGTTTGTGTGCAGAGAGACTTGGTGTGGTATGAAAGAATATTGTCTTCTGTTTAGTTATGGTAACTCAGCACCACTTAGGACTACTAAAAGTAGAAAAGCAGCAAATGAAATGCTGGGCTCTTATTGCGAGCTTCATTCTTATTCATAGCTTGTGGAGCTATTTAGGGGCTTTGAGGGCCCCTTGTCGATACCTCTAATGACTTTGATCTTCGGTTTTATAGGTTTCCATAAGCTGTTGACAAAGGAAATTCGTACAGATGAAAGAATACGGGAGGCAAAACCCGTACACACTTCTGAAATGCGTAGCTTTTAGTAGTACACCGTACATTTTATGCAGAGTTCATTACCTGCACCGTACTATAATGCATACAGGGAGTTGTACGCACCAGTTTATAGTATATTCAGCGGGCTTTAAACTAATCCAAGGCCCTCGACGCGTCATCAAGAGTAGTAAAATAACGATTGAGCGGGATTTAAACTCTGATAAGGCCCTTGGCGGGAATGTCGCTGATTGGTCGTTTCCTGGACAACGAGACAGACCTCGTTCTAAATGCCCTGAGGCTCTCCATCAGCTCAACACGGGACAGCTTACTCATGCCCTCTATGGTGTATTTCGTAGCCAGTTTCCGCAGGTCGTCGAATCCGGATCAAGATCCAGATCCCAGATCCACTGGACTCTCAGAATCAGTCGATCATATTTAAAACACACCGCCACCGAGGTAGAAAAACGACAATTGAAAAGTTACTCCAGACTCCTACTCTTCGTACTCATCTGCATGGTGCACCGCTTTTCAACGTTTATATGAAAAAATGCACATAACAATGATTGTTACCCGCCAACCACGTACAAATATCTTGTTTGGCAAAAACGAATCCGTTGGATTAGGTTAACCCTGCTCCCGGGGCAGGGTTGCTCGGATCCAAATCCGAAGGATCTGGATAGGGAATTGATACTAGTCACTGTAGATCAAGTGGATCCGATGGATCTGGATCTGGATCTGGATCTGACCAAACGCTCACGGCCCTACACTCCAGTGCGGTTTACGCACCGGAAAATACGGCAATTTATTGTTAAGTGCATGTATGCTATCTTGAATCTAGACTCATTTTGTGCTTCATGTACAGCTTCGTTACCACATCAGCCCGCGGTTGGATGTGTCGTACATTAGCACCAGCAAAATTTTGTACGCAGCAGCCAATGTAGCCACTCTATCCCGTCAATTCTGCTGGGATATGTACTCAATGTTTAAACGACGCCTGCCCAGAGTACATTCTGAGGTAGCATCTGATAATATTCGATGGAGAATTATGGCATACTTCCCATTGCTCTGTCCGAAGGCACCGGTGCAAAAGGGCGAGCTCTGTGCTTTTGGTATTGACGATTGGTTGCCTGCAAATATCGCCAGCTGGTACCTGCCCAACTTGGACACGGACAACTTGGAGAAGCTGTACCATGTCAGAAAGCTGTGTGAAATGTCATTAGTACGCTGTGGTTCTGTACAAGTCTATCAAATGGACTTAATCAGGAGTCTTTCACAAGAAACTCGCAAGTTAGTGTCCTACTTGCCGTACCACTATCTACGCTGCAGATTAAATGAAATAGTTAAAACATTGTCTGAAATAACTGGTAACAAGTTAACATATCTGCTGGCTTGTTTGGGATTGTATGCTGCAGCAGAGCCACAATTCTTATTTTTAAGAGCTACCCAACTTTGTCACGTTCATTCTGTGTTGCAACTCTACATCAAGCAAAGCCTGGAAATGTCTATTGCTGACTACTTTGCAGCATGCGTTGAGTGCAGGGAGTATTGTGAGCGGATGTCCGATTTCCTTTGGCGCCGTACTGTCTACTCCAAGCTTGCAGAGCACCTGAGCATGCCGTGCCCTAAGCACAATGTATTGACACGGCTGCAGTTATCTGAGGGCTTTCGTAGAGCTACCGAGCTTGTTCTTTGAGCAACGATGGACAATTAGAAAATACCTTGCATCGCATTCTCTCTCTCTCTTTCTCTCCCTCTCTCTCTCTCTCTCTCTCTCTCTCTCTCTCTCTCTCTCTCTCTCTTTCTAACTACTCTGTGTCTCTTCTTTACGTCTTGCCGATGTCATCGACTAGTTCAAAGCAAAGAGTACCATGGTGTTATGTGTGTCAGGCTCTGGCCGTCCGGGCATCTGTTTCTAGGATGGCCCAATGTTCATGTCCAGTGTATTGCTTGTAGGATATTGTGTCGGTAGTGATTTTTTGTTTGTGTGGTGCTCGAATCTGTTTCTCTTCCTAGTCTATTCTTGGATACATTCTTGCAACGCTGTACCCGTTTGTTTTTAATAAGTGAAGTGGACACAATAATTTTTTTATCGTGAGTATCTTTCTGGTCGCTTTATTGTCTAAAGGAACGGACTGTGTGTGTATTGTCTGGTTTTTCATACAGTATATTCACTATATTGATCATTGATGTCTGGAGACATACAATCTAGCCTTCGATAGGGCTCTCATTGATACGCTTTCCAGCTATGGAGCGGCTCTCCATCCACTCTCGATCCATCTCCCTCCCTCCCTCCCCCTCTCTCTCTATCTCTCTCTCCTCCTCCTCCTCCTCCTCCTTCTCCTCCTCCTCTCTCTCTCTCTCTCTCTCTCTCTCTCTCTCTCTCTCTCTATCTCTCTCATTCATTCTCTCTCTCTATCTATCTCTCTATCTATCTATCTATCTATCTATCCATCTATCTTGTCTATCCATCTATCTTGTCTATCTACCCAATCTGTACACAGAACTAGTTCTTCCTTTGTGGACTCACCAGCGCAGCACAGAGGAAATGAGGCCGGACCTGATAGCAATGAAGTCAGTGAGCTCTGCATAACGCAAAATTATTAGTAAAGGCACTACCCCACACAATAGTGCTCAACTGCTACGAGAGCAGGAGCGAAATACTCAATCTGCGACTCAATCTGTGGACAGAACTGTTTAGTCCTTTGTGGACTCATCAGCGCAGCACAGAGGAAATGAGGCGAACCTGATAGCAATGAAAAATAAACTCTCCAAAGCCAGATTTAGACCAGGCCCGAATGTACCTTGCCAGAGTGCTTAAACTGACAAGTCGGTTAGCTCTGCATAACGCAAACAGCAAAGGCAGTACCCCGCACATGAATGCTCAACTGCTACAAGAGCAGGAGTAAATACTCAATCTGCGGACAGAACTGTTTCGGCCTTTGTGGACTCCTCAGCGCAGCACAGAAGAAATGAGGCCGAACCTAGTACCTGATAGTGATAGCAATGAAAATAAATTTTCCAAATCCAGATTTAAACACGGTCCAAACGTACCTTTTTTATTTTCGGCCAGTCGGCTACGCTAATTATTTTCGTCTTGGGGGTTAGACAAGGGGAAGTAGCCATGTAGGGGCGTGAGCCCGCCTTTCAGCACCGGGAGTTGCAGCTCGCTCGACTCTACTCTACTGAACCTACCTTGCCAGAGTGCTCAAACCGAAAAGTCGGTGAGCTTTGCATAACGCAAACAGCAAAGGCACCTTCAAATTTGAGTGCGGATGCAGATTTTCTCGCTCTGCGGTTTTCTTAGCTTATCATAGTGTCCCAAGTATGTCGAGCAGTACCTCCAGGAGTTGCTACATAAACCTTAGTAAGGATCTGTCAGAGGACCATGCCTTCTTCGTCTGAGCTGCTTCTCGGAGCAGGGGTTCGGAGCACGGACATCCGAGTGGTTGATATTCAGGGCAGGAGAGGTACGTGTAAAGTAACTCTTCCTCGATAGCTGCCCGTGACACGTTGCTCTCCCGCGGACTGTCGGCCCAAGGGAAGGCCTTGGAACTGTTGCCAGTGGATGGCACTGCTGAAACGGTGCATGTGTTTCGAGTTCCGGAGGACATGGCGCTGTCGGCCATTGCGTCTTCACTGAGTCGTTTTGGGACAGTCTTGGGGCCCGCGAAAAACGAGAAAAAAGACGGTTGAGGGCTGCACCTTCAGTACAGGTATCGTGTACTACACCATGGTACCCACAATCGCTGTCCCCAGCTCCATCACCGTAGGCCGGTTCAAACTGCGAGTTTGGCACAAAGGGCAGACTCCCACGTGCTGGAAATGTAGCACCCCCGGCCACGTGGCGAGGGATTGCAGGGCAATGTCGCAGCAGGGCACCAAGCCCAGTCTGGGCGCTGCAACGTCAACAAGCGCGCTTGGATCACCCCAAGAACCACTTGGGCAGGGGCAGGAGAACCAAGAAGTGGCAGCGCTACCAACACCAGCAAAACAGCAACAAGAAGGCAGTGTGAACAAGGAGGCAAAAGGATCACATCCCTGATGCACAACCTTGGACGTACGCCAATGCATTGGGAGTTCACACTCCCTGCACGAGTGCTCGACCCGAGGCGACTGCCCCCACATCTTTATCCACACCCGCGTTCCCGATGAGTAGAGGCACAGCTGGTCACCCATCGCCCGATCACCAAGGCTTCAAGCTGGCTCGTGGGAAACACACGTTCCCAGCTCGTGTTACTACTCAGGCTACAAAGCAGGGAGACCAGGTGATTGAGAGTCAGGAAAGCAAAGCCATTCGTCAACTCGTCACACGGCTTCGAAGGAGTGTGCCACAGCGAAAGCTCGGGAGCAAGCGCAGGGACAGCTTGTAAGTTGTTAGAGGTTGCACGCCTTGCATTGTCGGTCTCATTGGCTTAACCCTTTGAGGACGAAGGACGAATATATCTATTTTTTTAAGGTATAGCTGGATTCCTAAAGACGAGTATATCCGTTTTTGAGAAAATTGGGATATCGATATAATTTTAGGTGCTTGAAGTCGCTCATATGTTGCTCAGACGAGCATAATCTGATTCTTCGTCAAGGTGAGACATGTCGCAGTCGATCCGCGTCGGTCCCGTGGAGAACCGGCCACATTTGAGTATCTCTTAATTTGCTAAATCCTATATATAGGATTTTGGTCATATTTTTCAACTCAAAATGGGTGTGGCATGAGAATAGCAAAAGTATGCGACCAATTCTTCCTTGCTAGGTCTTAGCAGATATCGAGAATTGAATAAGATACAAGTATTTTTTTTCAAACACTAACATCTCAGGCTCATCTCCTTGCTCAATATTACTAAGGCCTGTGCCCTATTTTTCGAATCCTATATATAGGATTTGAGATTTTATTGGACCTTGTTGTATCCTTAAAACTGGTAGTTTCATGACGGCATGTGCGATATGTCATCATGAAACCACCCCGTGCCACACCTGCAATGTTCTTCTGCACATTCACTGCTTCAGTCCTTTCCATGACAGCAGCTGAACAATTATGCTCAAATTCCCAATTAATGCTGAAAATGGGTATTCATTAGGGGTGAAAGTTGACACTGAAATCCCGAGTTCGAGTACTCTGATTTTCTCCGATCGAATATTCGAGTATTCGAGTATTCTTCATCTCCTAAACAGTGCACACCAAGGGCCTTAATATCACATTATACAACCTTGGTTGAATCGATTGATGATCTCTTTTTTCAGGTATACTGGTTGGTGGGTCATTTGGGCTCTCTCTATTCATGAACAAAGGCTCACCACACAGTCTGCACATCAATATCTACTGACTGCTGCTCTGAAACTGTAGATTTCTGTGGTAAATGCATGTACCATGGATGAACGAGTACTCTGATTTATTTCGAGTACGGTTATTCTTGAAAAAAACGAGCGAGTACTCGAATATTCGGTATAATTGTTTCACCCCTAGTATTCATCAGAAATATTATCGCCTTATGAATCTAAAATGTAAACATTCATGCCTCAAACATACAACTTCCATGAAAACCATTACCGTATTTCCCCGTAAATTAGTTCTTCCCAGTGACTTAGTACCCCCCTATAAAAAATACACTTTCCACTGCCGAGGTTATCACCCCGAAAGACAGTTCCCCCGAAAGATAGTAGAGAGGTTTTGCATTCCGAATTTCGGAATTATTTTCGGAATGTGGCGGCAGCAGTCGAAAAAGTAGTCGAACTTTCGGAAGTGTGGTGGCGAAAGACTAAGTGCATGGTTTTCCGAAAATGGATTTTCGGCTCTTTCATGTTTGTGAGTGCATATTTGAATACAAAAAAAGTGTATTTTTCATGTTTGTATTTTTGCATTCTGCTGCTCTCGATTATTTGAAAATTTGTCCACGTATGTATAATATATATTACTCAATCTGCGGACAGCATGCTGTTTCGTTCTTTTTGAACTCATCAGCGCAGCACAGAGGAAATGAGGCCGAACCTGATAGCAATGGAAATAAAAATTTCCAATCAGGCCCGAACGTACCTTGCCAGAGTGCTCAAACTGACAAGTCAGTGAGCTCTGCATAACGCAAACAGCAAAGGCACTACCCCACGCAAGAGTGCTCAACTGCTACAAGAGCAGGAGCGAAATACTCAATCTGCGGACAGCATGCTGTTTCGTTCTTTTTGAACTCATCAGCGCAGCACAGAGGAAATGAGGCCGAACCTGATAGCAATGGAAATATATATTATGTAGTTTTGATTTTTGCTGGTTTTTGCTGCTCTCGCTGATCTCGCCATGTTGACTAATCTTCCCACACTCCATCACACTCTATCTTCCTTTGCCATGGAGCCTACTGACAGTACAAGACAGTAGATCGCCAACCTCGTCTTCAGCTGTTGGATCACTTGGTCCACCATCAGTCCGTCCTCGTCTTCGAACCGCACCCAAATTCAGTTTGACCTGCACATGGATTTGATCCTGCTCAACCCCTTCGACGCTCTCCATTTTGTTTTGCATGGCAACCCTTGGAAACGAAGTCGAATCAGATTTTCGGAATGCAAAACACTGAAAATGCCGTTTTTCGGCACGCGCTTTTTTCGGAAAAGCACAGACGAAAATCATTCCGAAATTCGGAATGCAAAACCTCTCTACATTTGTAGTAAGTTCATACCCGTCCTACATGTACAGACACCGTACAGTACATACATCATATGCACGGACACTAGAGTTGCGCAGGCTTCCCACTGCGTGTCATTTACCCCCGATAAAAAAGTACTCCCCGAAAGATAGTACCACCCCCGAAAGTTAGTACTCATGTGGCTGCTAAGTTCGAAAGTAATTAGTTAGTTAAACTTTAATACGGGGAAATACGGTATGCCGTTATTATTGGTCGTGATGACCAATAACAACGGCATAAAAGGCACACATTTTCAAATCCTATATAATTATAGGATTTTTGACCAGCAAATTAAAGGGAAACTGAACGCCAAAAATAAGTATGGCCTATCCGAAGGAGAATTGGGCACTGATTCCGATGAGCTATGTCTCGAGCCGATCAGAGAAGAGGAACCGTGTCAAATTTCATAAATAACACCTTCCATATTTGGAAATTGGGCTTGATGACGTGCGTACTGCTTAGCTGTCACCATACTGTGCATGCTCAGCAGTGTAATTGAATGGAAGAAAACAATTACTTTGATGTTTTGCAGCTCTATTTCGTTCCCTGACGGTAACCAAATCTAGATG